TCATTGCTGAGAAAAAATACCTGGCATTGAAGCCTAAAGGACAAAACGTTTATTTATGTAGCTCACAGTCTGTGGAGGTTTCAGTCCTTAATCAGCTGGCTCCAAAGCAGGTTGGCATAGCACAGGGGCAACCGTTCAATACGGCAGAAAACATCAAAAGCAACAAGAGCAAAAGTGGTAGAGAGCAAGTCTGTTTTCCTCCCTTATATTGTAAGCAGGCTATCATCCCTTAGGATAGGTTATGTGTAGCACTCACACCATCTCTGTGCCCTCCTCTTGCATATGTAGATGTTCACAAGTAAGGACAGAGCCCCCTGCTGAGTCACTTCATTAAACTTCTCTGGTTGACACAGTATATCAACCAACATAACTACAGATCTACAGAGGAAAATCTGACCCAAAGGAAAAGAGCTAGTCAAAATTCATCCCATCAGCAAAATGAGAACTAAGCTCTTCTAGTCAGCCACTGCCAGGCTTAAACAGAAAAGTGACATAGACTCAAGGTTAATATAATGACTTCCTGGCCACCTCCAATCTGAGCAATAATAGTCTATCTGCAAATTAATGATCCTGATGCATGGGGGGAAGGGGAACAGAGGAAAATGAAGTGTGTGCCCCCCCCACCCCCACCCCCACAAGAAAAGAGGAACCGATTATTGTTAAAATAGTCTGAGTACTTTAGCTCTTAAGCACAATGGGTACTTCTGGGCCTTCCAGAGAACCTTCTCCTATCCTGGCCTCCGTCAGACAGAAAGTGAACTTTCTTTTGTTACCCAAGTACCACATGGGACTGAAATGGGTGTCTGCTCATGGCACTGGGGTGCTATAGCTTGACCATCTCACCACAACTGACCTGGCTTCTCTGAGCTGCTGCTGAAAATCCTAGAAAGTACTTTATATGACAACGTAACTCAGCAATTCAATTATTCACTCCCTATTTTAATTTCCCTATATGTCCATATCAAAAGCTTTAAACATATTTTACAAGGCTAAAAGAGAAAAAAATACTGTGATACTAGTGATTATCATTCTTTTAAAACAAAGTCCTTTAATCTGTGAAATACCAGATTTGGGTTAACTAGACTCTGGGTGTTTGAAGGCAACTGTGGCCTTGCTCTTTACCAGCAGCAAGGCCACAAATAACTATAGCCACTTCTGCACAGCAGCCCCGGAGAGCTTCCAAGCATATGCTCAGAAAGAAGGCATGTCTGAAAACTCTAGAACAGATTCACTCCCAAATGACTTGTACTTTCTAGAAGCCTGAGAGAGGAAAATAATGCCAACAGGTCTCACGCTGGCTGCCTCTACCAAAGGCAAGAAGCAGCCAGAGTAAGGGTCTGCAGTGCTATGCCAGCACAAAAAGACCCTAGGGCTGCTCTTGTCCAATAAGAATAATAACCTAATAGGGTAGGTGAAGACTTCACTTTGTTAAATTATTCGCACAAAAAGTGCAACTCCAAAGATAGGAAGTAGTTAATCTGTCATCCTTGGTGATATCAGAGGATGATATGGGATGTGTGTTACATATTCACTTTAAACTAGGGAAACTGAGTGAGAAGCAGGGATTTAAACATTAGCCTTATCTTCTCAAGTCACCAACCTCTTCACTCTAATGTAAACAATAAGGATTGTTAGGTCAGAGTCAGGTCTTATCTTCCACAGAAACTAAGGTTAAAAAGAAAAATGTCCTAATTACCTTCCGCTGCAGCAGTTTCAAAATAAATCCTTTTTCATGGCATGAACTTCAGTACTACTCTCATCAGTGGTTTCTTTTCACATACCTTGTCTTCCTTCATGTACAGAATCCCTTCAGACTTCTCCCTACATAAAAATCTCAAACTTGTTGCTTTGCAGTATGTTTCTGTAAGAACCTGAAATCCTTTCGGGAAATAATAAATATAGTTCTCAATTATAACCTTAGGACCTATAATCATTCTAAATAACCGAATGATGACTTGAACATCTGTTTGCCCCTTAGTCTGCAAGTTTAGTGAGAAACAATAAACAAACGGATGAGGCAACAAATGCATAAGCAAACATGTTTACCATGCAATTAACCTAAAGGCACAAAGCTCTTCATATGCAAGGGACACAAAAGTCCCTAGGTTGCCACTACAATCTCTTTTACATAATGATCACTTCTTAAAAGCTATAGGGAAGAGTATTCTGATCTCCAAAAGAGCTTACAGCAAAGGTAATTTCTTAATTTCTTATATGAGTTAAGTAGACTATAAAAAGTCGCGGACAATGGATCCCACTGTTTCAATATATTCTCAAATGAGTTTTGACCTAAATAGTCCAGTTGTGGCCCCACACTGTCCAGTGTGAAGGGAGCGGTGCGAGGAGGCGACGCGGGCTCCTTCGTTCCTTGGCCATGCCTGGGCCTTGCTGCCAGGAAGCCGTGGCCCCGTGTGGTGTGGGCTCAGATTTCTTTATTTCCAGAAAGATAAAAAAATCGACACCTTCTACCCTGGCAGTTCATTTAGGAGTCTGAAATTAGAGACTTCTTTCAAATTTGGACATGGCTAATCGAGGAGCAACAAGACCTAACGGGCCAAATACTGGAAATAAAATTTACCAGTTCAAACTAGTACTTCTGGGAGGGTCTGCTGTTGGCAAATCAAGCCTAGTGCTTCCTTTTGTGAAAGGCCAGTTTCATGAGTTTCAAGAAAGCACCATTGGGGCTACTTTACTAACCCAGACTGTGTGCCTTGATGACACAACAGTAAAGTTTGAAATATGGGATACAGCTGGTCAAGAAAGATACCACAGCCTAGTACCAATGTACTACAGAGGAGCTCAAGCAGCCATAGTTGTCTATGATATCACAAATGAGGAATCTTTTGCAAGAGAAAAAAAAACTGGGTTAAAGAACTCCAGCGGCAAGCAAGTCATTGTAATAGCTTTATCAGGAAACAAGGCTGATCTAGCAAATAAAAGAGCTGTAGATTTCCAGGAAGCACAGTCCTATGCAGATGACAACAGTTTATTATTCATGGAAACATCAGCTAAAACTTCAATGAATGTAAATGAAATATTCATGGCAATAGCTAAAAAGTTGCCAAAGAATGAACCACAGAATTGAGGAGCAAATTCTGCTAGAGGAAGAGGAGTAGACCTCACAGAACCTACACAACCAACCAGAAGTCAGTGTTGTATTAACTAAACCTCCAGTTTGAACCAGATGGAATATTCCGCTTCCTAAACGTTAATGACAATGGAATTGGAGCATTTAACCAGCACACTCCGACTCCCAAAAAACAAAGAGACTTATGATAGAGTCGAATTTCTAATACAGAATTATTTTAAGTGTTTTGAATTTGATTTTTAATAATATGCATGTGTCCCCTAATACTTCAGCATAGAAAGGGAAAAAGAGATCTGTGTTGCACTGTTTCACTGGACAGTTGGAGGTTAAAGGCTGATGGCTACCTGGATCCACAGTGAACTTCCATCTCTCCAAACTGGGACAGTAGTCATGTGTGAAAAACTTAGAAATTATTAATTTGGTCTTTCTGGAAAACATTTTTAGAAAGATTATAAATATATTTATGCTTAACTACAGTATTCAGGCAAACTTTCTTCTGTTATCTAAGGTGTACATTCTACATTTTAGTAAGTTAGCCACAAGAAAACAGTCCCACATCTCCAGGAAGAAAAGAAGTATTTATTAGTAGTGTGTAAGCTGTAACCTGTCTTACTATTTTTCTAAATGGGCTAGAGAAAGCAAATGTGGCCCTGCCTTGTTTAGGAATATGAAAACTAACAAATGCATTTTAATGAATTATGTTCCCTTCATGTGAGCGATTCAAAAATGAAGCAAACCAGGTATCTGATTTTTTTTTTTCTTTTTTCTTTTTTTTTCAATCACTGTAGGCCATTACATAGGTCTTGTTTGGGGGCAGGGAAGAGTTTTGTTCTCTTTGGACATACTACAGTCTGTGCACTAACAATTATGTACATTCAAGCTTGACTTTTAAATTTTATCTTTAGCTGTACTGTAAATAGGGTACTACATTGTAGCCTCCATGTATTTTTACTACTTTTCTGTAATATTTAAGAATTGCTTAAAAGTATACAAAATGTACAGTTACTAAAACAGCTAATTCTTTCTCTGATCCTTTGAAGGAAGGGGCTTCAGTTCCTATATGGCTAGAACCATAATAAACAATGTATCTGTAATTTGTAACATAAATATTACAATGTTAGTAACAATCTTGCAGCCTTGTTTTTCAAAGTCCTCTTTATTTTGACTTCCGTATATTGCACTAATTTTTAGGTATTTTCATTATATGAAATCTACCATGTGTCAGATGATTCAATCTATTTAAGCGTCGAACTCTTGGCAGACCTCTTGTACATTTTACAGTAATTCACAACAGAGAAAACAGCTCACCAGTGTTTAGTTTTATATTGAGGTGTTCAGGTTGGAATAAAGTGGTAAAAAAGCAATAAATAAATAAATAAATAAATAAAAATATAGTCCAGTTGTAAAATCTAAAGACAATTTTTCATTTTTTTGTCTTAAGTCTTAAAATGCACTCAGATTGCTTCCATATTGTCTGAGTATCATAGACCTATCTTTATATATTATGCAGTATACAGTATCTTCATATATTATATAAAAATAATAAATCACATGCATACAATATATACGTTTCTTCCTACATAAGTGGTCATACAGGATGCTAATGTACTCATATCTCACTAAGGTCATTAATAGCAGTATAAAGAATGAACAAGTGGAAACCAGATGTTAACAGATAAAGGGTGGTCTTAGCCCTGGTTTCAACATTCCAGTATTTATTAAATGAATGTTATTTCACAAGTGACTCTAGGTGAGGACTGCAGAACAGGTTCTTTTCAAATACACATATTCCATTCTCCCAGAAGAAAAGAAACCATGACACTAAGAGGCTACAGTTTCCCCAAGGTTCCCTGGTGAAGATACTCTATGCCCCTACTCTGGTGAACTAGAGGAACAACTCAAATGTCCTCACCAGGGTGACGATGGCACATTCAGCTGTCAGCTGTGCAGCACTGAACAGTGTCCGAACAAACCGGTAAATCTGCTTCTGCTCTGGATTGTGTTTGTCATAATCTGGTGGCACTTCGGATTTCTGGGGAAGGAAATATTGTTATATGACTAGACAACCAACAGGAGTGAAAAAAAAAATTAAATGATCTTATGACACACAAGAGAAGATTACCGAAAGAGGGTGAAGGTTTTCATCAAAAATATCTAAGAGCATCCGTCCATCTGGGTCCCTGGGGGAGAGGAAGGGAATGACAGTGGAGTTTATTTTTTGCAACAATTGAATATCATTCAAAATATAAGAAGCATACATATTGATTGAACTTTATTTCAAGAGATACACTGCTAAATTTAATAAATGGTGGTTATTTGTAAATAATGATTTATCTTTTGGGGGTACAATATTTAAACAGCTGAGTTTCCATGGAAACAAACCACACGTTTGATCTTTTAGCTTGCATAAGCTGCAATGGCTATAGAGGCACTGTGTTAGGACTTACAACATAAGCCCAAGTTAAAAATCAGAAAACTTACAGGTCTGTTAACAATGAACATCTGCCTTCATAGGCACACTGTTACTGCTAACTGCTGGGTTTCCTTGCCATGGTGTACACAAGTATGCAATGTTGATGCACCTGTGTTTTAATGTGGTCACATAGGTTGGGCTCATGAGGTGGAGCTGGCACTGCATTATGCCTTCCATGGTTTTGAGGGGGAACCTAATTAAGGGGCAGGTCGCTAGGGGTGTGACCTGGAAGGGTTCCGTTCTTGTTCAGGTTCCCTCTTTCTCTCTCTGTTTCCTGGCTGCTAAGAAGTGAGCACTTTTCTCTGACAAGCTTTTTCATCAAGCCAGTTTTGTCTTAGAGCCAGCTGAATCCAATGAAACTGTGAGCCAAAATAAACCACTCCTTTTAAATTGCAGGTGTTGGGTATTTCGTCCCAGCAGTGGGAACATGAGTATTACAACAGTACATGCTCAAGCACTGTGCAAAGTAAACATGAAAAGACTGCTTAAAAGGTCCCAATAACGGTACACAGCTGATAATCTTGAGGGGCCACATCACGTGCTGTGGAGGACTACACATAGCCCACGGGCTGGACAGGGATAAAATAAACATTACGAACCAAAACATTTAGTTTTAAGTAACAACATTTTGGATTTTAATTTTCCCAGTTTTCATATGAACTAAATCTAAGCAAGACTTTAATTTCTTTTAACATACTACTTCTAAGCAAATGCTAACAGATCTGCATGAATCAAAACCACATGGTATCCCCCACATGCCATGCCGGTCCTGCCGCCAGGGCATGACTGAGACAGGGCATGGTGGCACACACCTGTAATCCTAGCACCTGGGAGGCTGAAAACAGGAGGATCACTACAAGTCTAATCTGTGCAGTGAGACCCTGTAGATCCTACACTAAATACAAAACAAACAAACAGAAAACCCTAAACTAAAAAGCCCACATGGTAGCTGAAATGAAAGAAGTCTGAGCTTAAGAACCATCATTTAGTGGACTCTGGAGATTTTTGAATATTCACAGGAGTATGACCTCTGGATTAAAAGTTTCACAAATTTTTACTGAAAAATAAGAGGCGAAAATAAAAAGGCTTTTCTTAATAACCTGTAAGCCTATGACAGCATGGCTAGTTGTCACCAGAACAGGACGGTTAATGGTGGTGATATATCTGTCTGCACAGTGCCTTGGGCTGCTAGGCTCTGCAGGACCCACTGCACTTACCAGTGATAGTGCTAATTCTTTCTTATTTTGTAATTTTTGAATTTCTCCTAAAAATTTTCTTTTAAAAACTCAAACTGGAAGCCACTACTTCTGGATAACAGCATGTACAGTACTTTCAGGTTTGTGCTTCCAGAGTCAGTTAGGCTTAGGAACATTGGAAAGCTTACAGACTTGTTCTTAGAACATATCCATCTCTTCAAACAGGATGATTTCTGCTAAGTTTACCATCCGTAAAAATAAACAAGAAATAACTTAACAATGCAGCTCAATTTTCATTCCTGCATTTGCATAGCAGAAATTAAACTTCTGGCTGCTGACTCTGTGCTTATCTGCACCTATCTGTGTGAACACAGTAGCAAAGAACAGGTTAACTCCAAGTGGCAGAAAATGCTTAACCCAACAGCAGAGGATGAAAGCATAAGGACAGTTCCATCTTGGGTCCCTGGCTGCACTTTCTTTGATAACAGCTCGTTCTCATAATCAGCAGATTTCCTCACCTTCCTTACTGCCTGCACGTGGTACACAAAGGCTGTGGAAGGCAAGCCCAGCCAACTACCTACTACTGTCTTAGGCCATCGAAGGTTCTATTCAATTTTCCTGATGAATGCCAGACCTGAAAAGTCATCCAACACTATTAGAAAAACATTCACCAGAAGTAATTTTTAAAATGAAAATGGGGATTAGAAATATAAATGAGATTCAGAACTCAAATGACTGGGAAAAGCCACCCTCAGCAAAATGGACTATTTTCTTGACTTCCATGAAAAGCTGTATACTCCACTGGGCAGTACTAGCTCATGTTTAGTCTTTTGCCAGCCAACATCAGGGGTCTGCCCCAAACTGGTTTATTGAGGAAGGGATCTATGGACATTTATATCTTTCCTCCCCTGGAGACCTGCAGTGCAGAATACTTCTCCATCTTCACCAATGGTAACATTTTTTAGTTGGACTTTATCAACTTCCATTCACTTATTTTTTCTTTTCCAACACTGCAGAATGAATCCAGGGCATTCATACTATGTTATATCCTCAGTCCCACCATCACTCTCCACTTTTTTCTTTTTAATTTAGAGACAGTGTTGTTAAATTGCCCAAACTGACCTTGAACTTGTAATCCTCCTGCCTCAGCCTCTCAGAATGATGTGATTATAGGCTTCTGCAACTATGCCCAGTTTCCATTGATGTTTGACCTAATTTATTACCACAAATCTAAAAGAGCAATATGTTTAAAAGTCTGGGTGACACACATTGTTTGGATTCAGTTATCAACTGCCCAATGTACTCCTTGTATGTTAAAGCAACTATTTAACCTCTTTGTGCCTTAGTTTGCTTATCTATAAAATGAAGGTACCATCAATATTAACTCATGGAGTGTTATTAAAACTGTAGAACATAAATGTATTTGAAGAATGAAGAGAGTAACTTGAATAAGCACTAATGTTGGCTGTTATCATTACCACCTATGGCTAAATCAGTACAGGAGTCAATGTAGTCTAGGAAGCAAGAAATCTGAGTTGGGGTTTTACGGCTCAGAGTGCCACTTTACTAGTATGTAGCTGACCCCGGCTTCAATCCCCAGTACCAAAGGACAACACAAAACTAAACAACGCAACATGTAAGTATATTAGAACTGAAAGTTTAGGTCCTGCCTTAAAGATAATAGTGTGTGTTGAGCTGGGGATGAAGCTCAGTGCAAAGGCTCTGGGCTCAATAGCTAGTAGATGGGGGGTGGCGGGTGTTGACGGCAAAGCTAAGTTTCATTACTGGCATTAATGTTTTTATTTTAAGCTTAAATATTTAAGAAGTTTGAACTTCTACCCTAGAAATTAGCCAAAAAAGACAAAGTGTGTATTTTCACTATTTTTCTAGCTTAAGGGCACAAAGGCTATAGCATTCGTATGCTCTTATATTCAATAATTTCAAGCACAATTACAAACACAATACAGAAATAATTATACTACAATATCTCCAACTAGGTGTTTGCTCTAGGTATTTGTGCTTTCCTAGTACACTGTGCTGGCAGCTCTGTTGCTGACCCCACTACACTGATTCCTAAATCACTGTGAACAGCCTGCAGATGGGATGAAGCCATGGGCGAGATCCATGCTCCATGGGTGGTGGCTCTGAATATTCCCAAACTAGATCATACCAGTTGTACTTATTATGCATATATATATATATATATATATATATATATGTAAAATGTCAGTGACCCAATAAAATATAATTATAATAAGAGTACCTTTATTTTTATGAAAATTAAGAGAATATTTTGGAAAATTCAATCAAAGGAAATGACTAAAAATAACTTTTCTGTAAAGTAAATATGGTCAATTTTGAAAGAGTCTATAGTCAGTATTTTACAAATGTCTAAGCTTTCTTAATACTGGTGTGTGTGAAGGAGCATCTAGAAAGAATGAATTATAAAAGTAGCTTAATATCCCAGGCTTGAAGCAAAAGTGTTGATACTGAGTTTAAAAAAAAAAAAGGCAGCACAATGGATATATTCTTACATGTTTTATATTAATATGTTAATGTCTAAGGCAATTCTTTAAATTTCTGCGGAACTGGGGATTGAATTCAGGCCCTTGTGCTTGCCAGGCAAGTGCTTATTCTACTGAGCTATTTCCCCAGCCCGTAAGGCAATTTTTTTTAATTCCTTGTTTTAACTGACTTAAGTTTACCAATATTTCTCATATTAAAGATGCACATAGTAAAATTTTAAAATAACATGCCATAAAAGAAGGTCTACACAAATTAAAGAGAAAACAAGGAATGAAGAGGAAGCTTAACATTATCAAGAAGCTTTGTTCTGTTCTGTTGATTTCCAGCACAAACACCCAACTGGTGTCCTCTGATTCAGAAGCAGTTGATACCAGGAAGTTTTAATAAATTATACTGTATCATTAGAAATTCTATGAAAAAATGAGTTAAGGTCAGTGTGACTAGGAAACTATAGAAAAAAACCAATATGATGTGTTTTTAGCAAAAATTTATCATCTACATACCTGTTTTTGATGTGGTAATATATTGCAAGAGCTACACTGTAAAATAAAATACAGAAGTTCAATCTTTCATAAAAGTGTATTCAACAGTCTATATAGTATCTGTGATTAGTCTTAACATTAATATTTAAATTTAAATGAAAGCCAATAATCCATCTGAATGGTCACGAATCCTCATTAAGAAAATACTCTCAAAGCAATCTGATACAAACTTTCAGCAATTACAAAATCTTTTTCTATACACAGAATCTCAACTGATACTTAAAATAAACTGTAAGACATTTTAAGTTTTTTTTTTTGTCTTGTAAAAAAAAAATAAGCATTATAAAAAAAAGTAGGTGTTACATGGTATAGTCAATTAAATACCCTTAGAAATCCCAGCTCACTGTCTACTGATTCAGGAAATTAGTGTTTTGTTTTTTGGGGTTATTTTTTGTTTTTGTTTTTTTCTGGCTTGTTAGGCCCGCCTTAAGGGCGGGTGTGGTTGGGCATGTGGTGCTGGGGATCAAACCTGTGGTCCCCTGTACCTCACTGAGTTTGCCCAAGCCGGCACTTTAGACAATTGAAGTATCCTGCCAGCCCCCAGTTTCTTTATAGTTATACCATAAAAATGAGTTATCACCCAAAGAAAGTTTTCCCCTTTTTGAAATCTAGAATTACTTGGCAAACTCTAGAACTTATTCATTCACTTGCTGAAATGAAATGAAATGAAATGAAATGAAATGAAATGAAATGAAATGAAATAGTGGGGATGGGGAGACAGCTCAGTGGTCTAAGCGTCCAGCTGGCAGGTGCACGGACCTGGGTTCAACTCCCAGCACAACATGCTGTGTTGGCCCAGGTGTCAACCTGGACACCGAAATCAGGCATGGTGGTGCATATCTGTAATCTCAGGGCTGGGGAGGCTGAGATGGGAGGATCACTATGAGTCTGAGCTGTGTAGTGAGACCCTATGCCAAATACGTAAAGAAAAGATTTAAAAATTTAAAATGAAATGGTAACTTACTACTAACACTACTGTAAAACTGAATCGTAAACATTAAAAGATCTGAATTTAATGAACAACTACATATCCAGAATACTGTTTTCTAAAACAGAATTTTTTTTTACTACAAATTTTTTTTCATACATTTATCATACAATTTTGGGAAAATATAGAATGATAAGAGAAAAACTATACCTTTGCCCAAAGATAACAAGATAGTTAATTATTTTCATATTTGTAAACAGGTCTATAACCTACTTATATCCTTGATATATTAGTACTTATTACCATTAAAGTGTTCTTCAAAAACATGATTTTAACATAGCTGATTATAGTTCAGACGTTTGTTGAACAATTTAAACATTTTTCTACTATTTGTTTCTAGTAGACAGCAGTTATAATCAACACCATAATGAATGTTCTCACAGATAAATATGCTTGTAATCTATGACTGTGTCATTCACATACAAAACATCCTATAATTGGAATTAAGCAGTTGAAAGTCATCAATAACTGTTAGGCTCACAATTGCAGATCCCACCGATGTACTTTGCCAGTATTGGTTTCAATTCACATTTACTGACACCTTCTAAAAGTTTGAAAAAATATTTTCCAACTAAAGGGAGACTGACTGACTAATCTTTTTTAATTTCCTCTTTTACAAACTGGCTAGGATCCTTCCACTTTGTGTTAAAGTTTATTCAGGTAGCAAAAAAATTCCCCTTAAAGCTTCTAAGAACATAGCTACTTGGTGGCATCAGACTGTGTTTTGGTTCTCTCGAGATGAAGAAACTATCATACCACATACCTCTGCCTGAGAACTAGCTGTCAGAATGTTTTTTCCCCATTCTGCAGGTTGTCTCTCTCCACTCTGTTCAACATTTCCTTGCATTACAAAGCTTTTTAATCTGATATGAACCTACTGTTGATTCTCGGTATTAATTCTTAAGCCATTCTTAAGCCACTGGGCTTCTGTTTAGAAAGTCCTTGCCTATGCCTAAATCTTCAAGTTTTACCCTTCAACAGATTGTTTCTCTGTTTTAACATTTAAATCTCTGATCTATTTTGATTTTAGTTTAGTACATGGTGAGATATATGGTCTAAAACTCAAATCTTCTGCATGTGGATATCCATTTTTCCAGCACTATTTATTAATACAGAGGCTATCTTTCTCACAGTGTGTACTTTTGGCTCTTGTCAAAGATCAAATCACTGGGCTGGAGAGAGAGAGCACGGCAGTCTAAGCGCTTGCCTGACAAGCGCAAAGACCCAGGTTTCATCCCCAGTACTGGATGCCATGCTGGCCACCAAAACTGGGCACGATGGCATATGCCTATAATCCTAATGCTGGGGAGGCAGAGACAAGAAGAATCACTATGAGACAGACAGACAGACAGACAGACAGACCGACCGACCGACCGACCGACCGACCGACCGACCGACCGACCAAACAGCTGAATGTCCGGGCTTGTTTCTGTTTCCTCTATTCTTTTTCACTGATCCACATGCCTCTGTTTTTTTGCCAGTACCACCCTGATTTAACAGCAGCAGCTTTGTAGTATTAACTTCAAATTTGGAATTGTGATGTCTTCTGCTTTGCTTTTGTTACCCAGGATTGATTTTGCTGTACCAGGTTCCATCTATTTCCATACAAATTTTACAATTGTTTGCTCTAAGATCTGTGAGAAATGTTGTTGGTACTTTGATTGGAATTGTGTTACACTGTAAATCAGTTTTGGAATCATGGCCATTTTGATTACTTTCATTCTGCCTATCCAGGAACAGGATGCATCTTCCCATTTTCTGATGTCTTCCTCAATTGTCTTTTGTAGTGATACACTTTGTACTCTACAAGCAGTCTTCCACTTCCTTACTTAGGTTAATTCCTAAGTATTTAACTTTTCTTGAGACTATTGAGTATGGTATTGTTTTTCTAATTTCTTTCTCAGTAAGTTCATTATTCGCATATATTAATTTTCTGTTTATTTTATATCCTGTTATATTGCTGAATTTGGTTATTCTAGGAGTAGCTGGGCAGAATTTATTCATCTGCGAATAATATTTTAACTTGGTCTTTTCCTATATGCATCCCTTTATTTCTCTTGCCTAACTGCTCTGGCTAATGTTTCTTGGACTACACTGAACAGGATGGTGATAATAAACACCTTTTTTTTATTTGTGAGAGAAAGCTTTTAGTTGTTCTCCACTTAGTACAATCCTGGCAGTAAACTGATCATAAATGGCTGTTATCAGATTGAACTCAAAGTCCTTCTATATCTATTTTCTTCAGGGTTTTTATCATGAATGCGTAGTGGAGAATAACTCAAAAATTTAGAACCCCCAAAATAAAAGATCTAATCAAATAACAGGCAGTTGAAATAAATAGATACATAATAGAAAATGAAGTGTCAATGATCATTAAATACATAAAAAATGTTCTCAACACTACTGGCCATTACAAAAATGCAAACTAAAAACAACATGGGAATGCTAACTTACTCCAGAAAAAAATGGCTATCATCAAATATATATAACGAATACTGGCAAGGACATGGAGAAAAAGAAAGTCTTCTATAGTGTTGGTGAAATACAAACTAGTACAACCACTATGGAAATCACTGTGGCAATTCCTCAAAATACTACAAACAGAAATTCCATTTGACCCAGCTATCCCCTTCTAAGTGTCTTTCCAAAGCAGTCAAAAGTATGTATTATAGTAACACATGCATAGCCATGTTTACAGCACAATTTTTAATACCTAGATCTTCGAAACTTTCTAAGTCCATCAACAGATGAATAGATAAAGAAAATGTAGTATTTATATATTAATTCACTATATCCACTGTGGTACAATGGAGTACAACTCTGCCATAAGGAAACTAACGAGGCATTCACAGGCAAATGAATAGATGAAACTTGAGAATATAATGTCAAGTGAAGTGAGATACACAATTAAATACTGCATGGTTTCTCTTACATGAAAATCTATCTCAAAGATACACATCTTAGAAGTAGGGAGAAGTTCAAATAATTCCCCAAATTAGCTATTGTCTTATTTCAAAAAAAATTTAATATATATGCTACTTTGTTATATTTATACTACTAGTTTCTCAGTTCACTAAAGAGAAAGTTTTATGCTTTTGTTTTCTTCCTTTAAGAGTTTTCTTTCTATAATCTGTACTCTGGGTATGGCTGTTCTCTTAAGATTATGAAACACAGCATATTAACATTGTTATTCGGTAATTATTTTGTTATGAAATTTTGCTTTGTTTTCATAGAAGACTATTTTACATTTTCTTTATTAATATCCTCTTCTATTAGATTAAAAAAAAAACTGTCATTCATCCAGGAAACTAACATAGAGAGGAATGTAGGGGGGAGGCACAAGTTCGGAGATTTGAGCTTGTACTACAAATTCCAAAGAGCTCAGATGTTTGCCTGTAAAGTTATATGACAATGGCTAATCATGCTGTAGCACAAAGCTCAGATTCTTCTAAATCTTTCTCTTACTAGAACTATTAAAAAATGATTTCAGTTAAGTGTTAAAGATAATCATACCAACATAACTTCAAAAGGTGATGCACTTTGGGGGCCTGGGAGATGGCTCAGTGGAATAAGTGCTTCCCTGGCAAGCGCAAGGGCCTGAGTTCAATCCCTGGTTCCGCAAAATAAATACATAAATAAATAAATAAATAAATGGTGATGCACTTAATCCTTTAAAGGTGGAGTCGCTTACAAATGGTGAAAGAACTTCAGAAATTTTAAAAAATAGTAAGTTTTCCAAGTGTTTTTGTATATATTAACACTGGTACAGAAATGTTCACTATTCCTACTTTATTAAAAGAAACTAAGTTTCAGAGAGTAGATGCCAAAAGATGCTTACTTTTCTAATTTAATGTCAGATTTAAATGGAATGCTTTTCTCATGATTGGGTTTACTGTAGTGCTCCCATTAATATCTACGGCTGATAAGAAAAAAAAAAAAGATTCCTGGTCTCCTTTGCAAAGGAAGGTGATAGGAGAAATGCATCCCTGGACTAATGTCAGGGATGGCTGTTCTACCTGGATTCCAACAGTTATTATAATCTCTCAGGACCATTGTGGATAATACCACCCACATCACAGTTGTTCTAATCATCAAATGAAATAAAACTTATAAAAAAATAGAAATATTAATTCCTTTCTATTATCATTATTTCCCTCTCAACAGGTTTTCTGTCTTGGGTGGAAATCCTCAAGACTTCAAGGTCTCTGTCTTTTCCTAAGCCAAAACCCAGACTAGATATCGTTATAGCCTCAGCTATTTAGAGACAGGAGAGCTGTGCTGTAGGGCAATTTCCATTAAGGGACATTCTGGGAAGGGAGAACACTGTACACAGGACTCACACACAGCACAGCCCCTCAGGAGTCCTCACCCTTGGATGCCTGTGAGAATCTTACAGTGTAGTTTTAAAGTTCAGAGAGCCTGAAAAAATGGCAGCCTATAATCCAGTACTGTGAGAGGCTGAGAGAGGAGGACCACAATTTCAAGTCCCACTTGGGCAACAGTGAGACCTTACCTCAAAATAAAACGGGCTGGGAATATACCTCAGTGATACAGCCCCTGAGTTTGAACCCCAGTACCACAAAAAAGTCTAAATACTCAGATACTCTTTGGAAGATTCAGTCAGGATTTGAATGGGAGGCATTTGTGTTCTCAGGTAACCCTATATACAGCCAGGTTGAAACCAGATCACAGGGACACACATCTACAAATCAAGTGGCTGCTTTCCAGACATGATCAATGGACTAGCAACTATTACCCAGTTTTCTCACTAGGCTCCCAAATGTCTATGCCAAAATTGGGGGTAATTTTAAGTCATCTGAAGATGAAGCATTAAGAGTTGAGTCAGATCTATTTGTACAGTCTCAAGAGTTCTCACTGTCCCCAAAACTAGGAGTGCCATCTAGTTCCTTGTTCTGCTTTGCTTTGTGTCTGGAGGATCTCAGGACTGGAGGGAAAATGGCAGCTTTCATTCAGGGCTCTGCTAAACCAGGCAGGTGCCCTGAGTCATAAACTGCACAGATCTTCAGGGTTTTCCAAACCTCTAGTCCTAAGGATTTAATCTATAAAACACTTCCAGGAGGTACCACCCTGGCATTTCCCAGTGGTAAACTCCAGCCCAAGGGTGGTGACTAAACTGAGCACACAGGGAAATACAATGGATTGCTAAGATGAATCTCTTCCAGTTGGATTTCTAATGCCCACCAGGCACTTGGCATACCCCTTTTATGTCAGGGCACAGATATTCCTATCTGGATCTTAGAAGTATGTCACCTTACAGGAGAGAAGGAACTTTACACAGACAGGTACCTCTTCTACCCAAGGGACCTTATCTTCTAACTTTTCCCTAGACTGTCCATAGAAGATGTTTATAGTCCTCACTGCCTGCCTAAAACCACAACCATCACATGCAGTCCCAATTCAAACATGAATTCTAAGTCAAAAACTTGGTATATTTAAATAGAATACGTCATAATTAGAAATGTCAACACTTTTTTCACATGGTAACATATGGATGTTGAATGTGTACTTTCTGAAAGTAGTATAGCAGAGGCAAAATATCCTACTTTTCACAACTGAGCAGCTAAACCCAGACCTTAGCACACTAAATTCTCTATGATCTCTATTAAGGGCGGATGCTATCTCCATCATGATAGGAACATTACAGTGAAACCTCTTAAAATAAGGAAATTAATTGCTTCAAAGGGGAAAGGATTTGATGCAAGGACTCCTCTTTTGATTTCATTTTAAAATAAAGAACTAAAGACCCCATGCAGAAGGTTCCTACTCTAACCTTCCTGTTGCTGAGAGGGCCAACCTCACCTCTTCCACCCCTAGGTGGCATATCTGTCCCATGTGAGGTGGGCTTCCTTCAGAACAACGGAAGCCAATGTTCTTTTTAAGATTTGTAACAGGATGGCTTCAATCCCAAACAAAAGAACTAGAAAGTATTCACAAAGATTAATATACACTTCAGATCATCTACATTTAAAGTGATTTCAAATACTGGTCTTCTATCTTACATATGTACAAATGTTCTGAATGACTCATATCTTAAAAGCCATTGTTTAATAATTCTAGAATTTTTAGTATTCGTTTTACACACACAGCAATTGTATTACTCCCAGAACTACAACCATCCAGTTTAGTCTTCAGGTTAAGGCACAGAATAACCATTCAATAAGGCAAGAATCTGTATACCTACCATTTAATGGTGTACTTGAGGTTTGGTTGACTGACTGTGCTATCATCGAGGAATATCGTGGAACAAGAGCTGTACTTCCTTGCTATTTGTCCTGGAGGATGCTAGAAAGCAATGTCAACAAGACAAAGACAATTACACAGGGCTCAAAATTCTTTAAAAAAAAAAAAAACTTCTCTTTACTTGCAATTAGATCACAGAGGGAAATGTGTACACGACAAAACAAAAGCATTTTATTATAAAATTAATTTTTTGTTCTTCCACCCCACTCCCAGACCTTCCTTATCAAGAGAAGAGAAAATCTTGGTCTGCAACCAAGAATCAGAGTGTGTTTCAGAGTCTATAAAAATTACCAGGCCTGAGGCCTGGGTGAAGCTTGGGATATACTGCTCACTGCATAAATGAAAGCCCATAAGAAAGATGGCATTTTAGATTTATGAACTAAAATCAAGATGAGAATCCCCTGTAACCAATTTCTATAGTCTTTGGAAACAACTGCTTTGGGGGGAGGGGGTATGGAAAAATGCAACCAAAGTTAATTTAAGTGTGCTTAGCCTGCTTAAGTTTCAGCATAAGAAGTAATAAAGTATTCCTATGTTAAGGACAAAGTGCATTTTGAAGATTATCTGACATGAAAATACACCAAGGGTGGTATGCTTATGCACTCTTGTGACTAGTTCTTGAACTGTACATTATAGCTCTATGGAGTACTTTCACAGTAAAGAAAACTATGTTATACACTGATGTCATCTGTTGAATGCTATAGTTTTCTGATAATTCTTTGAGAACACAATTAGTAGATATCAAGACAGACAAATCTTGATCAAAACAAAATCTAACCATACAAACAAGTTTGCCCTTGTGTGATGTTCTGTTGGCAGTCTGTCATTTTCAGCAACCAAAACACCAATCTCTTAGAAATCATAACATTACCTGGGTGACATGCCCTCCCTCAGCAAAAGCCCTGGGGGTACACAGTTCACAAATTTAGTAAAAGAAACCTTAAGACCAGTTAAAGACCAAAAACCCAGCTGAATACGTTGTCATTTACTTTCAATTAATATGTTTCCTCTGAAATAAAATTATGAAGATATTCAGTAGCTTAAGAAATAGATAATAAAGACTCAGAGCGCAGGCCCGGAGAGTGAGTGAGACGACCGGGCTGCGGGATCCTGAACAGACCCAGAGCACAGGCCCAACGAGTGAGTGAGACGACCCAGGGCCTGATGGGATCCTGAACAGACCCAGAGCGCAGGCACGCCAAGTGAGTGAGA